AAATATTTATATGTAAGTATTTGTAGTTGTATTCATAAATAATTTGTATATTTATAAATATAACATATTTATCAACATTCATAAATATAATACTTGCATAATGTGTGTATGTGTGTATTTCCAAATCCTAGTGTTTTAAATAATGTCTGTAAACTCATTCTACCTACATTTACATGTCTGTTCTTGGCCTCTTTCCTAAAATCCAGGCTCACATATCAAATTGCTTAATCTACGTTTCCACTTGAACATCAAATAGGTACTTCATAAGACAGATGATCACAGATACACTCAACTTCTCCCCTCAAAATCTGAACCTCCCTTTCTTTTCCATTTCAGTTACTGGTAACTCACATCTTCATGTTACCTAATCCCCATGCCTTAGTGTTATCTTTCACTCCCTTCTTTGACACAACCCATGTTTACTGGCAAATTTCATATATAACTTAAATCTGATGACCTTGCTTATATCCACAGCTGCCACTTGGCTTCAGCCACTTGCAATTGACTCCTAATTGGTCTCCCCATTTTAATCCTTTTCTGTTCATTCCTTCCTCCATAATCTTAGTTCATGAAAACAGCCAGAGTAATCCTTTCAATCATATTACTTTACTTCCTAAAAGTCCCAGTGACTCTTAGCCAAAATCTTTACAATGACCAAGACAACCCTACATTTTCTACCTCCCACATTATCTCTGGGACATCAGAGATTCTGTTCCTCACTTAGTCTTTTCCAACCCCCCTTCCTCCTTTTATTTCTTTCTAGCATTTGCACTTACTGCTTCATTTACCCAAACTGATCTTGATCCAACACCCTGTGAATCCTTCCTTCCTCTCCACCTATGTAATACTTTAACATCATCTTAAGAATGTTCCTTAACAATCTACTGGAACAAGGAGAGTGGAGTATAGCCATGGGCTTAGCCATTCAAAGCAGATAAAAAAGCTTATGGAAAGCATAGTTTCAGGTACACCCAGCCCTGCACAGGGACCATGTAGTGAGTGTGAAATACAAGACTGGGACAGATTGATCAGCCCCTAAAGTCCTGGGCTAGTTATAGCATGAGCAGCAGAGAATGCCATCAGCCCACCCTCAGGTAGTGATTTCTTCTGAGGCTAGGGAGAAAACACTGCAAAGCTCTGAGTCAAACCATATTGCAAGGGGCCTGGGAAACAGGTTGTAGGCATTGAGTGTAGTTTGGTCTGATACGGAGAGAGAAGCAGAACAGGATCCCCAGACCTAACATTTTCTCCCCTACCCCAACACTATGAACATGATTATTCAACTCATGAATAACCATGTGCCCATAAGTCCTTTTCCACTGCCATGATAAACAAGGATTCTCAAACTAAAGCTCCAGCACCACCTACCGGGGAGAAAAGGCAAGAGCATGTGAAAGAAGTGGCACACAATAAGGCACACAATGTGGAAGATAACAGAACTCAACCCAAGCTTTATGACTCATAATTGGAGGAGCTGACAGAAAAAGAGTTCAGAAAAGTGATCATGAAGAAGCTCAATGACAGCTATGTGTGTCTGGATGTGTGTATGTGTTAGTTGTCATCTTATTAGCAGTTCATGCTTTCATCTCCTTGACTTCAACTTTTCAGGTGTTCTTATAACCTAGAATTCCATATATAATATGAATTAAGAAATTAAAGTAATCCCTTCATTATAGGTTTGTGTATCCAAAAGATTCACAGGTCACTTGCTTGGGACTTATATTTTCCCATTGAAAAAGTATATTATAAATGATAATTACATTTCAAACCTACTGCATCCATATTAAGCTGAAATTCCAAACATATTAAGTAAAATGCTAGAAAACATCATGACATCACTTTTTAGGTATCATAAAATGCATGTAAACATAGAATATGTTAAAATAATTAAAATAAAACTTTTAAGACTTTATTAAAAAAAGCATTGTTGAGGTATAATTGATGTACAAATATATGTTCAACTTTATGAGTCTGATTATCTGTACACACTTGTGAAGTCATCAACACAATCTGTGTGATAAACATACGCATAACCTCCAAAATTTTTATTTTATGTATGTGTGTGCTCTATGGTAAGATCACTCAACATGAAAGCTACCATCTTAACAAACATTTTTAATTTAATTTTTATTTTTTTATTTTTTATTTTCTTACATCATTGTAGTACCCATAGTTTTGCCACCATATCACCCATGAACCATCCATATTCCCTTGTGTTCTTCCCTCTCCTGTTTTGATACCCCTCCTTTTCCCTCCCATGCTGTCTGCCTCAGATCTATGGTCAGCTTGCTAGTGTTAGCTTTTCCTTGACCTTTTGTTTGATTTGGTTTGTCTGTATTCTGCATATAAGTGAGACCATCAGATATTTATCGTTTTTCCTTCTGACTTATTTCAACTAGCATAATCCCTCCCAGCTCCATCTATGTTGCTGCAAATGACATGAATTTGTCTTTTTTGATTGCTTAGTAATATTCCATTGTAGAAATATACCATAACTTTTTGATCCATTCATCTATTTGAGAGCATTTGGGTTGTTTCCATATCTTAGCTATTGCAAATAGTGCTACAATAAACATAGGATTGCAGGTTTCCTTTTGAATTAGTGGTTTTTGTTTTCTTTGGGTAACAAATTTTTAAGTGTGCAATAGACAGTTATTGATTGTAGGCCCTATATATATATATATACATATAATCTTTAGAACTAATGCATCTTGCATAAATGAAATTTTATTTACCAAGTGACTGGTTTTTTGTGTGTTTAGTAGCAAAAGGGTTCCAAACTGCTCTGACTGTGTCTGAATGATAGGAAAAATATGAGAATTATTCATAAAGAAGAATTAAATGAGGGAACATACAATTAAACCAGACAGAAGTGTACTGATGGTTATTATAAGTTTCATAAAAGAGAGAGAGAGTAGCTACTAAAATTGCCATTTCCCTAAGAGACTAAGTAGTCTAGATGGTCCACCAACTCCTCAAACTATAACACTATCACTATAAGAGTCAATTAATTTATGCTAGGCTTAGCTTAAATTCTGGTTATACAAATGATAATTCTACAATCCCTGCTGAGCTAGTTCCAATTAAAATAGTGTGACCCAGCAGAGCACACAAGGGAGTTTGCACTGGGAAAGGTAAAGGAGCTGGAAGGCTTGTTAGATCCTGATATATAATGTATGGTCATATCTAAGTTTGCCAATATGAAACTAAACTATTGTTAGACTATTAGGAAAGCAACTATAGAAGTCTTGTAACTATGGCTCAAAGTAAGAATTTATCATGAAAGATTTGTACAGATATTGCTTCATCGTTATTAGATGTACTATTGGAATAAATGTACTATCTTATTGGGGAATCATTCTCAAATGTAAATCACTTGGAAGAAATGTACAAATTCACTTTTTAGTATTAAATAGTTCATGCTTGATGGAACTGTCTAAAATTTCTCACACTGTCAATGTATAACAACATCTACTGTTTGGGGAAAATCAGAGAATTTTCATTAATAAAATGCATCTGAAAAGGTGTGAACAGCAAGATCATATACAGTGTTGTAAACCAATATTAACCTCAATAAAAATATTACTTTAAAAATATAAAGAATACTTAATTTAAAAAAAAATCTATAAGATGCAGGTATATTAGTAATTATGCAGTCTTTAATAGTCCAGCATAATTTGTAAAAAATAAATGATGAAACCTAGAAGTAGGCTGTAGATTTACAAGTATTAATAAAGTAATGACTGATGGCACCTTAATACCATAGATCATGCCGGATATAGTATTAATAATTCAAGGATTATTAATGTTGAAGGATATTAGTTTTTCCTAGTCAGTTTGGCTAATGTTCTGTTTTCAGTTTTTATTTTGGAAGAAAGTTGACTAGTTTGGTCAGTTTGTATTCATGTAGGATAGACTGTATTTAATACCATGTGTGGTGCTCCATAAAAATATTAAAGTATCCTTTTTATTGACACAAGTGAGAAGAGATTTAGATTTGATTGCATTAAAATTACTTTTATTTACTCTATCGATGGTGTAATGTTGGTATTTCAGTCCGAAGACAAAGTTAAAATTAAAGTACAAATGCTTGAAAGTCATGTGACCACACAGGATGTCCAAAAAAAACCCACAAAACACAGGGCTAGAGAAAATGGAGAAATTTTATATACAACTTTGACAAAAAACAAGAGACACAGATATATTCCTCAGATATCCAAAAATAAGTTATTGTTGCTGCATATTCAAAAAGCAAAGAAGATCAAAGATAAATTGAATTGTGCTTTTTTTTTTTTTTGAGAAATCACAGAATACATCTGGTTAGTTTATTAATCCCTGTTTATAAACTTACCACGAAATAAAAATTAAATTTGCAAGCAGCTTGGAGGCACAAAAGGCTCTCAGGGTTCCTAAGAGCCATAGCACGGTTAAGCTTCTGGGTCCTTCTTATTCACTGTGTTCAAGTGTCTGTGCCACCACAATTATGCTGACTGGAACCCTTTAGAAAAGTTCAAAACAGTCCACTCAGCAACAGTTTCTGGGATACTGGAATAGAAAGTTAGATTTAGTAGTTGTTCTGTAGAATTCTTCATTCTTAACAGACAGTAAGTTGAACAGAAGTCATGAAAAATATCTCTTGCTCTGCAAAAAAAGAGGAATATGATTGCTAGCTCTGCTACACATCTGACTTTTTGGAAAAAGTTTACTAATTCAATGAAAGCTTTTGGCAGTTCAGTTCAGAAATACTTTTAGCCATGCGGTCATGTTTTTGTCCTCAAGGGGGCACTCTTATATAAGTTTAAATCACCTTCCAGACGAATTATCAGTTCTCTGGGAAAAAATGCTTAATTTCACTGAGCTTCTATCCTTCTACATAATGTTTTCCACATGTAATATCAGCACTCTTTCCAGTGTACATCTGAAAATTAAATAGAGTTGTTTAAATTGCATGGTTTTGTTCAAAATAGCTAACCCCATTCTCTTTTTTTCTTTTATCACAGTTTTTTGATTGTAAGAGGTCTTGTCAGATCACCCAGAAACTGATGAGAATTTTTGTTCTGTGACTGGTAAGTAAAATTGAATGTGTGATATCTGGTTGATACTAGGGGATTATATTCCACTGTATTTTCTAGTTTTCACATGTTTGCATTTTAATCAAATAAGTTTTTGGTAATAATTGCTCGGCCAAATTGCAAATTCCCTGCAGAGGAAATTTCTTTTTACTCTGAACTCTGAAGGTGTTAGGATAAATTCCAAGAAGCTTACTGACAAGTAAGTGGTTAAGTATTGAGGGGAAATGCTGCAATAGACAACCTTAGGTTGAGGTATTTCAGAAGCACACCAGGAATGGAAATGAAATAAATAAAAGGTGTACACCCGTACTATAATATTTACCAGACTGTAGTCTTATGTGGACTTCAAAGGTAAGTCAAATCAGACAGCAAAATTGCAGTTTCCAACAGATGGGAGAGAGGTACACTATGCTGAAGTAGATATTAAAGACTCTTAAATTACTTGAACTGGGCTTTTTATTTATTTTTTTAAATAAATTTTATTTTTATATTCCCCATACAATTGCAATCCCCTTATTTTAACCCCAATCCCTCCCCTCCCCGCCCCCCATCCCCCATAGAGTGTCTCTGGTTCATAATTTTTTGTTGATTTTGATTTTCACTTTCTTATAGTTATTCATTTTCCTGGTCCCTTATTTAAGTTTTCTAGATTCCTGCTATGAGTGAGACCATCTGGTATTTTTCTTTTTCTTTCTGGCTTATTTCGCTGAGCATGATCCCTTCCAGCACCATCCATGTTGCTGCAAATTGCATGTGTTTATCTTTTTTGAATGCTGAGTAATATTCCATGGTATATATGTACCACATCTTCTTGATCCAGTCATCTATTTTTGGGCATTTGGGTTGTTTCCAAAGCTTAGCTATTGTAAACAGTGCTGCTATAAACATAGGGGTGCAGGTACTCTTTGGAATTGATGTTTCTGTGTTCTTTGGGTAAATACCTAGGAGTGGAATTGCTGGATCATATGGAAGCTCTATGTTTAGTAGGTCCAGAAATCTCCACACAGCTCTCCATAGTGGTTGGACCAGTTTGCACTCCCACCAGCAGTGCAGGAGAGTTCCTTTTTCTCCACATCCTCGCCAACATTTGTTGTTGCTATTTTTTTTAATATGTGCCATTCTCACTGGTGTAAGATGGTATCTCATAGTAGTTTTGATTTGCATTTCCCTGATTACAAGTGATGTTGAACATTTTTTCATATGCCTGTTGGCCATTTGCATTTCCTCTTCAGAGAAGTTTCTTTTTAGCTCTTCTGCCCATTTTTTGACAGGATTATTTTCTTTGTTGTTGTTGAGTCTCATCAGCTCTTTGCAGATTTTTGTGATCAGTCCTTTATCATTAGTGTTGTGTGCAAAAATGTTCTCCCAGTTGGTGGGGTTTCTCTTTGTTTTGGTTACTGTCTCTTTTGCTGTGCAGAAGCTCTTTAATTTGATGTAGTTCCAGCTGTTTATCTTTGCCTTCACTATCACTGCTTTGGGTGATGTGTCTGTAAAGATGTCTTTGATGTACATGTCATGTAGTGTTTCGCCTATATTTCCTTCTATGTATTTTATGGTTTCAGGTCTTATGTCTAGTTCTTTAATCCATTTTGAGTTGATTTTTGTGTATGGTGTGAGGTAGTGGTCAAGCTTCATTCTTTTGCATGTAGTGACCCAAACTGGGCTTTTTAAATAAATGATTTTACTTGTTCAGTATTATATAAAAATATATTTATTTATTTATTTTAAATATTTGTTTATGTATACAAGAGCTGGGATATAGGCCAGAGGTGTGTGTGTGGGGGTGGGGGGGGTTGAGAGGATTCACCAGAGACCAGAGACCCACTGGGGAGCAGAGCAGGTAGGTTGACTGAAAAACACTGCTAAGGGGAGCAGCATGCGTTACAGGAGAGGTCTGCTGCACAATGTGGATTAGTTCCCTGGCCGGGGTTTGAACTCATGCCACGGTGACTTGCAATAGTTGATAGTGCTGAGACTTAACCCCTTGCACCACCAGGGGTTTAGTGTTATAACTATACTTTCATTTACATAGTTGACAGTGGACATATAAATAATTATTGAAAAATAAAGCATCATTAAAATCTTGAGATGTTTAATGCATTTTAATATTTAAGTATGCTGAGTTTGAAATATTGACCAGCACTTCCATTAACTTGTCTAACATTTTTGCAGTTTTTTCACTCTATAAACCAGAACTTTTTTACTCTTAAATTCTGTATCTATATAGATTTAAACTACTTAGTTTTAAAAGAAGTAATCAGCTTATAAATCCTATAGTAAACAAAAGTATAAAAATGCTATTAAAATTTTGATTATTATTTTTGCATTGCACTATATTTGCTGACCCCAAGTCCACATAATTACAAAAATTGTTTTACAAGGAAAAGCTTTTCAATAATAGATTCTTTCTGCTGATCTCATGTCCAGCATTCCATAATCTTTCTCTAAAATAAATTTAATGTAACACCAAATGTCTATGTGCCATAGCTGGGTGATTAATTTGCTATCCTACTATCCTTTTTCATAAAGTGAGCATTCAAGCTCAAAATATTTTGTTCGAAATTTTAATTATAGGTATCAGTGTGCTTGCACTAATTAAAATTCAAATTTGCTGTGTATTTCTTGACAGCAAAAAGGAAAAAAGTAAAACATTGCTGTGAGTTTTATGCTGTCCCCATTGATCAAATTATCCTTGCATTTAGTACATAAACTAGTGAACTCTAGAACTATGATTTGAACTCTTTCTTGGGACTCAGGAGGACTCAGAGGGTACTAAAAAAAGCCTAATGTGCAGAATCTGATGTGTATGTTCAGTCTTAGGGAACAATAACTGCATAGAACTGCAAGAACTGCACAGGGATGCAAATCTAATAACTACCATGTCAAGACACAAGGCACAAGAAGAGTTCTAGTTAAAAAAATCACCAAAAACTAGAATAAGAAATATCTACAAGTAAACCTTTTACTGCTGTTTGCCATATCTTACCTTTATTCTTTGAAAATGTAGCTTCAAAACTACTCTAAAGGATATGTTTACAATAGGGACAGAGGTCTTCATTGGAGAAGTATGAGGAAAATCTGAAGCATATAAAAAACAACAGATTATATACTTCATCTGTTAGTTTTGTTCAAACAAGTAAATGACTCATAAATTAAATGATTTGAACATTAAAAATTGACACTGTGACCATTTGATCCACTGCTTTTTCTGAGATTATCCTTTCTTTATAGATTTGAGAGCTTGAATTTTTTAAAAGAGTAAATCTCCAGAAATATTTATTTCTCACAAGTATTAACTAGGCCTTGAGGCTCAGGGCACTAGAGATTTTAGTAATTAAATTTACACTAACTGGGTTGCCCAGAGTAGCCTCAATTCTGAATATTTTACTTTTTATCTTAAGACCACTGTATTAGTAGAGAACATTAGTTAAGACACAATTTTCAAAAATGAATAAAACTGAGAGTTTAAAAGTGCATTAATATAATATAGATATGGGACAGTGACTTAGGGCCAATAAAAATAATAAAGGAGTTTGATTTTTCTTCTCTTTGACATTGAGCTAAACTATGAAGCCCCAGTTAATTGGGTGTTGAGGTACAAAACAATAGGAAGGACTGATAAACATTCAGTGAACTTCCTCTGAGAACCTCCGTTGCATAAATGATAAGTGAACTTTAAATATTAGGGTATCTTTCACCTCTTAACCTTTACAGCCTTTACATCCACTTATATGAAAGCTTCAAGAAATAAGCATCAGACTGCTGTTGTTTTTCTTGTTAGAAAATAAGCATCAGACTGCTGCTGTTTTTCTTGTGAGATTGTTTCATCATCAAAAACGAGTGAAATAAAAGCATAATATACACCGCCAGAGCTAAAAGTAAGCAAGTGGGGAAAAAAACATGATTTTCCCACAATATACATAGATTCACTTCTAGAGAAGAAAGACAGCTTATATATACATGCATACAGAATACATACCCATATATACCAATTAGAAACTTAATTACATGACAGCAATATTTTTCCTTATGCACTAAGTGAAATTAAGTACTGGCTTGTCATATTCTTCTGAGAAAATATTTTCTGAAATGTATTCAGCACATCATCATTGTTTATTCATGGTGATGTGATTTGATATGTCATCAAGAACACTACTAGGGCTTTTTTGTTGATTAGAAATGTTAGAAGAATGCCTGAAGAACCTATTGTGTATTCAACATAGAAAATGTCATTAAAATTTGCTCCAGAGATTGAAGATAAATTTACTGGTGGTATTTATATAAACAGTAATATAAAATGGAAGCTATTGCTATTTCTATGAGCCACCTATTACCAGCAATGATAATAATCATGTATCTAGAGAGACCTGAAAAATACCAGCATAAAATAATTTATCATCTCACTTTAGTGTTTCTGGAGAAAGAGCAGGTCAAAAGGAAAAGAGGTGGAGGCATATGTTGAAATATGCATTCTACAAAATCAGGAAATAAATTCACTTTTTTGGAAAACTGATGAAGAAAGAAATGCTATCTGGTAGACATTAGTGTGCTCATCACCAAAATAAAAAACATCATTACATGGAGGTATTGCAATACTATATCTCTTAAAACCATTAAACTGAATTCTCATTTTTGCAACTCACCTTTTTTATCTAAAAGCATTCATTTTTGCCAGATTTTTTTTTTTGCAAAATTAGAGAATCTTTATAGGAAAATTTTTTGATAACAACTTGGACCTTAGGCTACAACATGAGGGAGCTCAGATGTATACCAAACTAAAGGATAAATAGAGCATATAAAATGGAAGAGGTGAAACCAGAGAGATGAGAAGTTTGTGAAGTCCACATCTTCCACGTGGGCTGCTAATTCTTGAACCTGACCACCTACATTATGGCAGATAGAGAGGCTGAGATTATAACTACCCTAAAAACAACTACAACACATTTTGCTCGAAGAAAGATTCAGAAGTTCCCTGGCAGGCCACAGGGCTTTTC